TACAGCATCAACTTGAAATACAGGTTGTTAGGTCCAAGTGTGGATGAGGCTCCTTGGTTATAGTTCCACAAGTACAACTTCTTATGATGTGAACACCTGTGAATTAAAGAAACAAGTTTTCTGCCCCTCATGCACCCAACATACAGTGATGGGACCAGGCATGTACTAAACAGGTATAGAGATTCCTATTTAAAAAGGGAGAAAATGGGAGGCACAAAGAAGTCATACTGATTCATAGCAATTCTGATTTTATCTGGATAAATGTTGGAAGTTTCTTGATTAGGACTTAGTTCTTCTTTTGCGCAGGAATGCTGCTCTGGTGGCTCATGTTTCCTCCTCCTAGGCTCTTGGTTTCAGCCTCTGAGTTATCTTTTCTTTTCCATGAAAAGTAGTCCAGATTTGCAGCTGCATAGTTTTCTTAGTCTGCTTCTTGCCAGTAGAATTTTGAGGGCCCAAGAGGCTTCTTTTCATTTTGTTTTGCCTCTGTACCTTTCAGTGTAACCTGGCAATGTTTCTTTTTTTTTTTTTTTGCCACCCAGGCGCCCCCGGCAGTGTTTCTTTTTAAAACTTAGGGTCTCCTGTGAATGTTACTGAGATTCCTGCCATAAACAAAAGCCACACCCACAGATCTCTTCCAGATAATCTCCTTTCTCCCTTGGGCTTCTGCTGGGATTGCTGAGGGAAATACTTGCAGTGGATAGAATTTTATCCTCCAAAAAGATATGTTCGGGTCCTAACCCCCACTACCTGTGAATGTGACTTTATTTGGCATAAGGTCTTTACAGATGTAATCAAGTTAAGGTGAGATCATATTGGGTTAGAGTGGGCCCAACTGCAATGGCTGGTATTCTTAGAAGAGAGAAATTTGGACACAGAAGATACAGGAAAGAAAGTCACCTGAAGACCCAGGCAGAGATTAGAGTAATGTGTCTGCAAGCCAAGAAACAGGAAAGATTGCTAGGAACCACCACAAACTAGAAGAGGGGCATGGAACAGATTTTCCCTCAGAGCCTCCAGACGGAACTAACCCTAACAACATCTTGATTTTAGACTCTGGCTTCTAAAACTTCTTAAATTCCTTTCTTTTTAAACCATATAGTTTGTGGGAATTTGTTATGGCAGCCCTTGGGGACTAATAATACCCTTACGCTTCTTGGAAGCCCATTTGTTTAACTGAGTAGTTCTTTAGGCTATATAGATCTTTCTGAGGTCTTAACAAAGAATTTTTATAGCCGCATTCTAGGCTTCCTCAACCATTTTCTTTCGGCAGTGCCATGGATTTGATCTTTCCTTGGAAGCCATTTCTTAATTTTAGTATCATTTACCATCTGGAGCGGCAGGGAATTTTCAGAATTATTTAGTCTTGACTCCCTTTTTGTTTAACTATCCTTCCCCATAGGGGTGCCTGGCTGGCTCAGTCGGAAGGGCATGTCATGACCCTTGATCTTAGGGTGTGAGTTCGAGCCCTGTGTTGGGTGTAGAAATTACTTTAAAAAAATTAAAAAAAATAAACTTTATCCTTTCCTTTAATTTATCCTTCTCTTCTTGCATTTTAATGTAAGCAGCAAGAAGCAGCTAAGAGGTACCTTTAGCATTCTTGTCTGGACATCTTGTTAGCTAGACTATTACCCCAGTTCATGAGCCACAACTTCAACTTTACGTGTTATGACAGGCAACAACTTTTGCTACTACATAACAAGGATCCCTTTCCCTCCAGTTTCCAAGAAGATTTTTCTCACTTAAGTTCTCAACCATAAATTCCTCAAAGGCAATCATACTTCTACTATTTCTTCAAGGCTCTTCAAACTTTCACTGATATTCTTCTCAGAGTCCTTCCAACTTTTACCCTCTATTGGGTTCTAAATCTTCTCCCACATTTTAGGTTTTTATTGTAACAGAACACACTTCCAGGTATCAAAATCTGAATTAGTTATCTATTGCTCTGTAACAGGTTACACTAGAGTTTAGTGGCTGAAAATGACAAACGTTAATTATCTCATAAGTTCACTGGGTCAGGAATTTGGGGCAGTTTAGCTGGGTGGTTTTGGCCCAGTGTCTTATGAGCTTTTAGTCAAGATACTGGCTATTATTGAAGTCATCTGAAGGATTAACTGAGAATTACTCATATTCTGGCAAGTTTGTTCTGGCTGTTGGGAGGAGGCTTCAGTTCCTTATCATGTGGGCTTTTACCGGACTGCTTGACATAGCACTTTTCCAAAGAAAGTGATTCGAGAGAGCACAGTGCTCTATTTATGGCCTAATCTTGGAAGTCACAGATTATCCTGCCATATTCCATTGTTAAGAAGTAAGTCACAGTATGGTATTGGCTTAAAACAGACACCTAAATCAATGGAACAGAATAGAGAGCTTAGAAATAAGCTCAAAGGAGCCAAGAATATACAATGGGGAAAGGGCAGTTTCTTCAACAAATGATGTTGGGGAAACTGGACCACTATCTTACACCATACATAAAAATTAACTCAAAATGAATTGAATATAAGACCTGAAACTATAAGCCTTTTAGAGGGGAACATAAGTGATAACCTCTTTGACATCTGTCTGGTAATGATTTTTTGGATCTGACTTCAAAAGTAAAGGCAACAAAAGCAAAAATAGACAAGCTAACAAACTAAAGAACTTTTGCACAACAAAGGAAACTGTCAACAGAATGAAAAGGCAACCTATTGAATGGGAGAATTTGCAAATCTGATAAGGGGTTAATAGCGAAAATATAAAAAGGACTCATGTAATGCAATACCAAAAAAAGAAAACCAATTTGATTAAAAAATGGATCAGAAGATCTGAATAGCAGTTTTTCTGAAGAAGATACACAGATGGCCAAAATGTACATGAAACTGCGCAGGGAAATATAAATCAAAACCACAATGAAATGTCACCTCACACCTGTTAGAATGGCTGTTATCAAAAAGACAAGAAGTAACAAGTGTTGGCGAGGATGTGAAGAAAAGGAAACCCTGGTGAACTGTTGGTGGGAATGTAAATTGGTGCCCCCACTATGGAAAACAGTATGGAGGTTCCTCAAGAAATAAAAATAGAGCTACCATATGACCCAGCAATTCCACTTCTGGGTATTTATCTAAAGAAGATGAAAACCTTAATTCAAAAAGATATATACATCCCTATGTTCATTACAGTATTACTTATAATAGCCAAGACGTGGGGACAACCCAAGGGTCCACTGATGGATAGTGGATAAAGACAATGTGATTTGTATAAATATACACCAAACACACACACACTGGAATATTACTTGGCAAAAAAAAAAAAAAAGTCTTGCCATTTGCAACAACATGGATGGACCTTAAGGACATTGTGACAAGTGAAATATGTCAGATGGAGAAAGACAAGTATCATATGATCTCACTTATATGTAGAATTTTAATTAAAAAAAAAAAGCTTATTGATAAAGAGAATAGATTGGTGGTTGCCAGAGGTAGGGGGTAGGGTGTGAGCAAAATAGAAGGGGGTCCAAAGGTACAAACTTCTAGTTATAAAATAAATAGTGGGGATGTAATGTACAGCATGGTGACTGTATCATCAGGAAAATGCAAATCAAAACTGTAAAGATATTATAGTTTATTACAGTTAATTATAGGTAACTACAGTATTATAGTTAATAATAATATATTACATATTTGCAAGTTGCTAAGAAAGTAGATCCTAAAAGTTGTAATCACAAGAAAATAAAAATTCTGTAACTATGTATGGTGATGAATGTTAACTAGTCTTATTGTGGTGGTCATTTACAATATATACGAACAGCGAATCATTATGTTGTAACCTGAAACTAATAGAATGTTCATGTGAATTATACCTCAATTAAAAAAAAAAAGAATTAAGTCACTAAGCCTACACTCATAGGATCATAAAATAATTTGTGGACATTTTTTTGTGGACATATTTCAAAACACATAGTGTAGTTAGCTATTGTTGAACTTTGAGGAATAGGGAGAGTCTAATATTGGCTACTGCCATTGTTATATTGATTGGCCTAATAAATAAAGTGGGAACCAGGGGGTTAAAAGTATATATCATATCAATTATATCTCAGCAAAGCTGGAGGAAAAAAGTGCGTTATCATTCACAAAACAAGAGATCTAGGAGAAAAATTTCTTTAGTCTTTTTCTTTTGCCCGTTATCTCTTTGGGTAACAAAGATCAACTCACTAATAAAAGGACTGGGTAGATGTGCCATCCTAAGTGTTCAGAATGACAAGTGTCAGGTGTGTGTGTGTGTATGTGTGTGTGTGTTTGAATGTGTTTGTGTTATAGGCAATTGGAACACCTTTTGAGGGCTAATATAGCATGTTGATAAATGTTGGTAAAATGGGATTATTCTCAAAAAAATTTTTTACAGGGCTCTTTGAATAATATCTTACATAGAAACCAATGGGTAAAACATATAAAAATGGAACTACTGTTGTTAAAGGATGGGCCCAGATCCCACTGATTTAGCATCCCTTTCAGCCTCATGTTGCTGCCAGGGATCCAAGGAACATAGTGTGAAAACTACACCATGTAAACAGTCCCTTTCGAGCCTAATTCACAAAAAATCTATTAATACATAAGATTGTAGGGCACCTGGGTGGCTCAGTCGTTAAGCGTCTGCCTTCGGCTCAGGTCGTGATCCTGGGGTCCTGGGATCGAGTCCCGCATCGGGCTCCCTGCTCAGCGGGGAGTCTGCTTCTCCCTCTCCCACTCTCCCTGCTTGTGTTCCCTCTCTCACTGTGTCTCTCTCTGTCAAACAAATAAAATCTTTAAAAAAAAAAAAAATACATAAGATTGTAGAGCTCAGCAGGATAGCCATAATAGCAAAATGCTACCAGGTAGCAGACTGATTTCTGGTATTATCCACTGTATAATGGTTAGTGAAAACCCATGGTGGTTTGAAGAAGTAGTCAATGATTGGTCAGCCACAGATACCTGTAGAATACTTTTCATTAGTCTGTTGTCTTACCGAATTGTTTTTTCTTTCAACAGAATAATACAACAGATCTTTACAGGATTCTTTGCAAATTCTGCAGTTCCTGGATCCTCACATCCTTTTTCCTGGTAAGTAACTAATTGCCCTCTGTCTTACTTTGCTGGAGTTGCAGCATGTTAGGTATCTGTACCACTGCGACAAAGTAGGAGCTGCATAGGTGAGTATAAAGATTTGATTCACAGACTGTTAGATTGCTTTTATTTGCTGAGCCCAAACTTAATCAGAACTTAGTTTTTATTGCTCAGTCTCCTGAGGGCCATCCTGGTCCCCCAGGGTGTTCAGGCACTGGATGTGTCGGTTTTGGTTCATTTTCTGGTCTGAGAGTTGTGTTGAGAGGGAAATGAGATGGTCCCCGCCAGGCCTGGTATCTGGACTTACAGGTTTCTTTTCTAGATCATACGGGAAGATGTTATTCTTTCAGAATTTCTGAAATTAAAAACATGTTGCTTAACTTCCTTTTCTCAAAGTAAGAAGGTTTGTCAGAAGAAACAAAGGCCGTAATTCCGTATCAGAGTGACACTTAAGTACGGTAGGGGTTAAGATGGAATTTCCTCTCTTCTGGACAATTACATGCCACTTCTGACTCTGCCCCAGAAGGCTCCTTTGCTCAGAGGGACCTCAGTCCTTCCACACGGTTACCCTATTTTCCAGCCTCTCGTTTCTTTTTAACATGTTCTAGCCAAAGAGTCTGGACATCTGTCATCCGGGGTAGTGCACCGGCAGCTCTAGAAAGAGGTGCTGCCAAGTCCCTTTTGTGATTGCTCTAAGTTGTGATTCAGAGAGACTGCTGTGGCTGTTTTTCTACTTGAAAGCTCCTCATTGTCGAGGACCATGGGCAGCCTCTTAGAATGAAGGAAGTCTGCTATAGATTTTGCCAGTCACAAAGGGAAAACGCTCCTTAAAAAGCAGCTCCATCTATGTTTACTGTAAATGGGCACAGTTAGAAGACAAACTTTTCTTAGCCAATAGGCAAGGAGTCACTCTTTTTGCTCTGGTGTGTCATGTGGTATTTTAGGTAGCTTCACATTTTATGTTCTATTCAATTAAGTAAAAATTCCTTACTTAAGAGAATAAGAGACTACTTCCAGATAATCTGTTTGACCTTAAAAATATTGAGAAATTCTTTGCCACTTGATTTTAGAGAAGTAGTGACTTTCCAGCTCTGAGAGAGAGCAGGATCTGCCAGTTTTTTCTGTGGTGTAAGGCAGAGCCTGGTCACTCCATCTAATGCTGTCTGTCTCATCTCATGTATAGGAGCGGGATGCTGCACTCCAACCCTGGGGACTATGCCTGGGGTCAGACAGGGCTTGATGCCATTGTAACCCAGGTGAGGAGCTGCCTTTTGAGGGTGTCTGTTCAGTGTGTCTCATGGTTCCACAGGCTTCCTGCTTTCCTTCTGCTACTTTCTGAAATGGCAGTCACTCTGCTTTCCCTAATATTTTGAGCTTGTGGGTTTCCATTTTACTGAAGGGATAAATGGCTTATGGGTTTAGTTTAGCATCCATGTACCTTCTAGGTCCTAGGGACTTTCTAGAAGATGGCTTCACCTCCATAGGAAGAAAAGACTTCTCCTATAACAAACAGTATTTTGTATTTTTGGCCTCTTGTTCAGTCCTATGAGGAACCTATTAACAGGTGCTTCACAAAAAAGAAGGGTCTCCTCACATGTTGAAGCAGGGATTTCTGCTAGATGGAGCAAAGTAGGGGAAGGAAGCAGAGAAAAAGGTATTCCCATGCCATGTGTAATTGCTTCCACTTATTTATGTTTATTTTAATTTAATTGGTTTTTCATTTCCCTTGTGGACTGCTGAGAATAGAAAGCATGTCATTTATATCCAAATCTTCTCATAGGCAGTAATTTACCTATTTCTTGGCATACTTTATGCTACTTTCCATACTCCCACCCTTTTTTTTCTTCCAGCAGAATGAAATTTTTAGACCAGTTAAGTATTACTTTTTGTTCAGTTGTAGTTTTATTCCTGACATCACAACGCTAATGCTGCCTCTGAAGTTGCTTTATGCCTGGAGGTGGACCTTGCAATGATAGGTTTGTCTGTAGACTTATACTAATGTCACTCTGAAATTGTAAAGGAATTATGAGTGTTCTGGCAGCAGGAAAGGGGAAACCCAAGCCTCTCAGAGCCCTGCAGAAATAAGAGCAACTAACATTTCTAATATATGCACTGTTTGTTCTCAGCTGGAGCAGCTCCCTCCCCAGGGATAGTGGGATATCTGCCACTTCTTCTTTTTCTTTTTACTTTTTTTGTAGCTTTTAGGACAACTGGAAAACACAGGGCCTCCCCCAGCTGACAAGGAAAAGATCACATCTCTTCCAACAGTGACAGTAACTCAGGAACAAGTTGGTAGGTTCAGTTTTATACTTATTCTGTCAGCTTCTGATCTCTGTTCAAAATCCCAGCACCTTCCTATACTAAGGATCTTCAGTTAAAGCTATAGCACTCCTAAAATTCCTACTGGGGTGTCATATATGGAAGATGCCTACCTTTTCTTTAGGATTAGTCACGTCAATGCAGAGTGGACAAACCTTTTTTTAAATTATAAAGAGAAAGGAAGAGAGTTTTATTCAAGTCTAAGTTAGGACAGTTGCTGGGGTTGCACTGTCTTTCATGAAGAAGAGAGAGCTCCAGGGAAAAACCATTTGGTGAAGGGTTATATGTTTTTTTGTTTGTTTTGAGGTAGGCTCCATGCCCAGTGTGGGCTTGAACTCATGACCCTGAGATCAAGACTGAGCCAGCCAGGCGCCCCTGTTTTTAATATAGTTGCAAATTATTATGACAAAGGACAGTCCAGAAAGTTACAGACTTCATCTTATGTTTTTAGTACGTGCAAATCTATATGACTTTAATCTTATGGAGATGAGGGAGGTTTTTTTTTATGTTTGGAATGCTCCTTTTTGGTTATTACTATTTTTTTTTAACAAAGTAGATATACAGTGTGTGCTCAGGGCAGAAGTAGAACCCATGCTTTGAGGTTTTGTGGAGTCATTATGACCTTGGTAAATGTTCAAGTATATAGATTCCCTGGGGCCCAGGAGCAGGGCCTGCAAATGTTGAAAGCAGAGAATTTCTTTTATCAGCCAGCAAGTATTTCCTCAACAGCCACCATGTCCTTTTTCTAGGTGCCTTGCAGGAAACAAAGAGGTACAAGATAAGACTTGATTTCTTGAAGAGCTTACCAGGGGAAGCAAAACTCAACTAAATGATTAGAAAACAGTATAAAAAACAGTATTGAGCAGATGATACAGAGAAAGAAAAAAAATGGGAGGCTGGGAATTTGTTTCATATTTACTCTGTCAGATACAGTTAGGTACTTGAGACGTAGATATTATTTTTAAGCACTGAAGGAATTTAGTGACAAGGAGCACTATTTTGAACTAAGAGTTTCTTTCCCCACAAATTCCAGTTTAAGTTGGAGAAGATTTTTAAAGACAGGATAGGCCATCTTAGAGAGGTCATTCTGTTCAAGGAAAAGTATGAACCAATGTGAGAATGTCAGCATGGACATAGTGTCAGAATCAGGTATAAGGAGAGTGACTTTATTAGCCCTGAAATAGAATCTGGTTTGGGGGTAGTGGGAGGCATGACTGGTTAGGAAGGGGCCTGTCTGTGTAGACCTTTAAACTGGCAGAGTAGTTAGGGCTGGATATTTTATTTTACTTTATTTTATTTTTAAAAAGATTTTATTTATTTATTTGACAGAGCAAGAGAGGGAACACAAGCAGGGGGAGTGGGGTTTAGAGATTACCTTTAAACTGGCAGAGTAGTTAGGGTTTAGAGATTACCTCCCAGAAGCTGAGGGCAAAGGCCAGACCTCTCTTTGGGCAAAAGTAAATTCCTTACTACACGGGTGCCTGGGTGGCTCAGTTGGTTGAGCGACTGCCTTCGGCTCAGGTCATGATCCTGGAGTCCTGGGATCGAGTCCCGCGTCGGGCTCCCTGCTCAGTGGGAAGCCTGCTTCTCCCTCTGACCCTCTCCCCTCTCATGCTGTTTCTCTCTCTCTCTCAAATAAATAAATAAATAAAT